CCCATCTACAAGCAGACCTAACTCGTACATCTTATTCCTTAGGCTGCGCACATTACTTAGCACTATCTGAAGGAATTCGTTAGGTCCAGACCTGGGTCATGCGCTACCAGAATGGGCAGTGGTAGGGCGGGGAAAGACCGCCGGCTGACCACCCGAAGACCCACTAACCGGAGACCCTGTTCACCGGCCGCTCGCCTACTTATGAGGTCCTTGATGGCCTCTCTTAGCTTCAGCCTATCGGCCAGCGGAAGGTCCGGCTGAACGCTTACTTGTACCCTTCAGCTTAAAAGCAAACCACATGAGAGCGTTGTGTTCCTCTGGGGTAGAGAGTACCACACGAAGTAGCTGCGGTCGAGAGTTCGGTACATTAACTGGGACGTTCCCCAGTCTAATCAGCTTCCTGACAGTAACGCCTGGAAAACCAGGCGGAAGAAGCTTCGTTAGGTACATTTTAAACCATTAAAGGTCGTCCAACATGCGAACAGCAGGAAGGACAGCAGTAGATTCAGCCGCGTTACGGAATATAACGCTACTATCCGGGAAAGCATCGCCACGACTGGGTGTATTGACTCCACGGGTCTTCGATGCGACACTTGGAGCAGGTGGCTTCAAAACTGGTGATGGGCCTGTCTCTATCCCGTCAGATGATGTAGCAACGGTAGCGTGTTTTTCGCTCCATTGTCGATGTCTTACTTTTATTCGGGTCATCGATTCCACCGAAAGGCTCTATAGTAGATTTGGTCTGCTTTCTCTTCTTGATAACGGGAGCAGGGTCCCGTGACGCTTTTCCGCTTTGAACAGAGTCAAGGAAACTGTCAGAAGGTGCCTTCTCTGGGAGAGCCGAGATATCCGGCAGCTTCGACTGACAAGTAGAGCGTGTGGGAACCTTCCTCTTCACACAACCGTCAGATGGTTTGACAAGTAACGACACTTGACTTGCTTTTGGTGCCGATAAAAGTATTTCTTGTTTAGCAAAGAGTTTACGGGGTTTTCTGGCTCTCGCTTTACTCGAATGGACCCTTGAACCAGCAATTCGGCGTCAATCAGGCTAGCTTTAGATCCGAGATCCGAAGCAGCTTCACATTCGTGGTCAGCAGCCAACTGGAAGGCTGACATAATGATTGGTGCCACAAGTTGATCTCCAGTATAAATGATCAAATATGCGTTGTTGGAGACCGGAAGCATCGGCATCAGCAGATCAATCTTGAGGCGAAGATCTGAGAGCATCGAAAACGAATCTACTGGTGGCTCGCGAAAGTTGCGCGGATGCCGGGGATAACGGCCACACACTGGATAAGCTTTTCGTGGAGTTTTCGAAGGCATTTGACAAGATATCCCATTTGAGGCTCGCGCAGAAGCTGACCTACGGGGTATCTGGCCACGCCTTTCATTGGGTGACTGCCTTCTTGGACGCTAGAGAACAGTGTGTACGGGTAGGCCGTGGCCTATCGTTTAGGCCTTCTGTCCTCAGTGGCGTACCGCAGGGCTCGGTCCTTGGACCGCTGCTGTTCTCCGTCTATGTGGATGACCTACCCGCGGCGCTTGAGCTACCATCGCTGCTATTTGCTGATGACCTGAAGCTGTGGAACATTGTTGATGTTTCTGGGGGTTCCAAAGCTATTCAGCGAGCATTGGATAAGTTTTGGGACTCGCCTACTTTATGGTTACTACCCATAAATCAGGCAAAGTGCTCCGTTGTTTGAATTGCAGGAGGTTGTCCTCCTACGAAGTACTTGGTCGGTGGGGTCGAACTCCCAGGTTGACCTAGGCGTCGTACACTCTTCGGCTTTACACTCCGGCGACAACTGGAAGAAGGTCGCAAGTAGAGATTTCCGCATGTTGTGGTTAATACGACGTTCTTTCGGAGTCTTGACGGGCGGCATCTTTACAAGACTGTTCTCGGCTTTTGTTCGGCCTCATCTGGAATACTGCGTCCAGCCTTGTCCGCCCTGCCTCATCCAGGACAAAATGGAGCTAGAGAGGGTTTTACGGGTGGGTACTAGGTTAGTTGAGGGATTACGGGGACGGACGTATCCCGAGCGTCTACTTAGTTTGGGACTGCATTCAGACTTAGAGGAAACCTAATCCCAACCTACCGTAACTTAAGTGGGAAGGTCCGTCCAGATTGATGATGGCTGTTCAGTCCGGCTAGATTGTCTGTTCTACGCGGTCATTCCTTGAAACTTGGCAGATCGCGGTCCGATCGGATTAGGGCGGAAATCTGGCTGTCACACCGAGTCATCGAGCGCTGAAACATGCTTCCGGAGAGTGTTCTCAGGGAATCTACGGTTAAGGGGTTTGAGCGGCAACTTGACGCTCTTGGGTGGCAACACGAAACCTTTCCATTTTCCTGAGTAACTCGCATCTTCGTACATCGCTATTCTTTTCTCGACTTTTTTCACGCATTGGTATTATTTTCTTAGTCCAAGTGAACTTCCTTATTCTGTACTTTATATTTCGCATCGTTTGCTTACTTCACGTGACTGCCACAACAGGGACTGCTAGGGCAGGGAACATGGGCATTAACTGGTTGGCCAGAGTGCGATGCGGCTGTCCCGTTTTAGAACCATCAATAACTCAGCACTTCATCAATTCCTGGCTCATCGATTTACTCAAGATGGAACACTCACGGGATTCTCCTATCGTTGCAGTCCCACCCGAACTTCAACTTGTACTTACGTACTTCCATTGCTTACGGTAATACTGGTCTTGGATTCTAGGAAAATATTATGTGTTAGTTCAAGTGGATAGTGTATTGTTTACTTTGAGCAGAGTTAGGTACTTAAAAAGCATCTTTTTGTCATATATTTGATTAAAGTTAGAAGTTTGTAATTTCTGGAAATTTACTAATGTAATGCCAATGCTGTGCTTTAATTTGGTTTTGAAAATAAATATGGTTTGCTTGTAATGCGAGGAAACGTATGGTGTTTCATTGGTGCTACGGACTCGCCTTCCAGGCTTGCTCGCCCTGCCTTTTTCCGGACAAAATGGAGCTCGAGAGGATTTTGAGAGTAGGTACCAAATTGGTCGTGGGGTTACGGGGGAAATCATACCCAGTTGTCTGCTTAGCTTGGGCATGTATTCAATACACTACCGACGGCTTTGAGGGGACCTAATTTTTACCGCATGTTAACAGGGAAGGATGGACCGGACTTGAGCTGGCTAGGTTGCCTTGGTTTTACGCTCATTCCATGAAGCTACACAAGCCGCGTTCTGACGGGTTCAGGGTGGAAACACGGTTGTCGCGTATAGTCGAGCGCTGGAACTCGCTTCCAGAAGGTGTAGTCAGTGAACGTACGGTTAAGGGTTTCGAGCGTCGGTTAGGCGCTCTTGGGTGGCAACTCGAAACCTTTCCCTTCTGACCATATCCAAGTTTGAGTTCATATTCTGTCATTCTGCTCACTCTTTGGTGTTAGCCTTCATTTAAATGACTTTCCTTCCTCTTTATCTTCCGTTTTCTTTCTACGTCTTCCTTACTGCACGTGGTCTACACAACGGGGACTGCTAGTGTAGGGAACGTGGGCATTAATTGGTTGACCAGGGTGTGGTCGGCTGTTTCGTTTTAGATCTCTCAAGACCTCGTAGCCCCTTAGCATTTCTTGGCTGAACAATCAGCTCAAGAAGGAACACTCAAGTGATTTTCTTATCGTTTCAGTCCCATCTGAATCTGAAACAGACCTCCATATAGTGGCTTTTTGTGTGATTCGGAAGACTCTGAGAGCCCGTTAGAGACCCATTCTCGTCTTTCCGGGACAGTAATGCATACAGATGGACTGCGCGTGTTAACTGCCAATGTGCGCAGTCTGAGGAATAATAAAATAAAAATAAAAATAATAATGTGTCAGCTGAACGCCGTAACGGCGTTTCGCTGCCGCGTGACCACCACAAGTCGCGCGCGGGCTGAGTATACCGCGAAGAAGTCCCCCCCTACGCGGATTCGAACCGGTGACCTTATGGTTGCAAAGCAAACGTGCAGATCACTTGGCCACCGGCCGAAGTCTGAGGAATAGATTGGATGAGATTCAGTTGCTGGCATTAGAGAACCGTTCAGACCTGATTGCCTTCACTGAAACTTGGCTATTCACAGACATCACGGATTCAGAGGTGTCCATCCTTGGTTACCACCTCTCCCGATCTGATCGACAAGGAGGGAGGTCCGGCGGTGGCGTAATGGTCTATTGGAAGACTGATATCGAAGGAGTATATAGCTTCACTCATATGTCGTCTTTCACCGCTCACTAGAGGCTGGCCGTCTTCCATCAGCTTGGAAAGTGGGTATCGTCAAACCCACCTACAAAGGAGGAAGTCGACATGATCCAGCCAATTATCGTCCAACCTGTTTGACGTCAATAGTATGTAAACTTATGGAACGGACCCTAAAACAGGCTGTTAATCTTCATTTTGGGGGACAGAATATCATTTCTTCTACCTAGCATGGGTTCCGAAAAATACGCTCCTGCACCTCTAACTTGCTCGTTGCTAAGGAGACCTTGGCAAGGTCTCTGGAATCCGGCAAATGCTTTACGTTGTGTTTTTTGACTTCAGCAAAGCTTTTGACAAAGTTCCGCATAAAGTCTTGCATTCACTTTCGTGGTCACTGTTTATAGACAGATTCTCGCTGTACGTTTATCTGCTCGATCACGCGCGTTTCATCCTTACCTTCGGACTGTCACCTACTACTCTTTTACATTTTTGAAATAAAGCCGGGTTTACTTCCGACTGGTGGTCAAATCGTTTGGCTAGATTTCATGTGTAATATGTCCCAGAACTACTGGATGCGTCACGGATGATGCATATTCCTTGGGGTATAATGTATCGGCATCTCTTAATCAACCCACAGTGCTTCGGGTGTTATACGTAACTATCTCTCATAGGACACCTCTGGCAGTAACCGACCCTCTTCACTGTTGCGGTATATTTTTGTTTATATGATTCTACCACCCGTGAGTCCCACTGTTCGTTGTGTGATAACTGTTAGAACCTTTTATTTTTTTATTTTAGCACATCGGATTTTTTATTGCTGATACTAGGACCGGTGCACGTTACCACTGCCCCTGTCAGTATACCCTTCTTTGACTTACACCATACAACCGCCATGGTAGTGGACGATACAGCAACCTTTCGACGTCTTATTACTGGAGGTTACACGTGCATCACACAGCTGGAGAATGACGTGAGACGGTTTCAGACCGAAACAGCAACATGTTTTTATAGGTGCACAGCCATCACTGCTGCCGCCCACAAAAGGAGATGCGGTGAGGAGTTGCCTAGCGGTTGCACATACAAATTCATTCAGTATCGATGTGTCCACAGCAAGCGCAGTAATTGCAATGGGAAGCGGTAAGTCCGCTTGGGTCATTTCACTCTTAATGTGTGTGCAGTTATAGGTGTTATAATTGCAAAGCTCGCTTTTCCGTCATTCTTAAGGGAAGGTTTTACGAAATCGGTCGGTATGCTCTGGTACATAGCCACGATTTTCACCTTGGCAATCCATGGTTATACGCACCCAATCGACGGTTAACATCTGAACAGGAAAGTGCAATCAGGATCCTTATGTCCACTTTTCGGAATACAAAGGAATTGCAACGCCTTATAGCGAGCCAATATGGGTTACAAGTAAACCGCTTTGATTTACTCAATATTAGACGTCGTCCTCACAACGCCCATTATGACGAACTTATAGAGGTTATGCCACCAACGCCACAGCGGGTTGCTCCTCGACAACAAGTGGATGAACAAGACATTAAAGTGCATGCGTCCCGAGAAGTGATGGCAGACTTCCCTTCGCAACATATTAGCTACGGCACACAAAATGTTCGCACTGAAATTGCACAACTTACCCAGCCTGTACCACAAACTTCTGCCCAACGGCGATATGGGAATGAACGATCTACGGAAGCGGACGAGTCGCAGGAAGCACCGGCCAACACAGCTGCACACCTTGGTGGTTACGGAACACAAATCGTTCGCACCGAAATTGCTGATCTTACTCCATCACTATCACACGACCCTGCTCAGGAAAAACGGGGTAATGAACGAGCCGCGAAAGTACGTGAATCCCAGGAAGTACTGGCCGACATTGCTACGCACCTTTGTAGCTACGATACTCAAAACTTCCGCAATATGCTTGACGCGTTGAAGACGTTGCGCAATGTCATGTCAATGGAGGCAGATATTACTCTTTACTGCAGCACTCCAAAGTGTTCCATTCCTCTACCTTTAAATAACAATACGGATCTAAAGAAATTGAAAGGTGTCCATTGCTATGGAAGTGCCGGTAATCCGCCACTAAATAGCAATGAACGTTTGATGTGTACAGGTGTTTCTACCACACATTTTGACTTGCAATTGGGGTGCAATGAAAGTGTGGGGTCAGCATGTTTGACAAATTCTACAAACGGACTTTCTAGCAGAAGTAACAAACGAAAAGCCCCTTTAACTCTACGTGTCACGTAGGTGTTATCAAGTAGTTGCGCTACAGCAGGTGTGAAATGTCGACGACTTCATGTCAAAACATTGTCAGTGTATAGGGTAGAAGCTTAATTTGCTTCGAGTTTCTCACTTTTCCTCTGATCATCGTTGTAGTTGGCCCTTGATCGGGCTACCGGTCCTGCAACTCTTGTCACATACCTTCAGACTATACAGCCTTTAAAGAGCAGTGAAGGCATTGTTTTCCCCGTATAATCCTTTGCTTTACCTAGCCTCCCTTTGTTTAACTGTATACGACTGGACTTTTGAAGAGTACACGTTTTCCGCCAGACACTTTGTTCTTCCCGACGTATTGCTTCTCGGTGTGCTATTGGTGCTCTCCTGCTTGCTACTGGAGTGCGATTTTCCTTCTTTTTCAGTTGATCTAGGAACCTTCTTGCCTCTGTGATTTCCTATCCTAAATCTCGGTGACAGAGGTGGGGTACCAGAATATCTCCCACGACGAACTTAATTATTCAACTATTCCTCAGCCACGACTGACAGTTAATATCTGGTAGCCGTCTCTTCTCACTTCTCTGCTTTTCTATAGAGATAAAAAAAAGTTATTTTTTGTGCTGCAAGCGGAGACAGAAACGCTGTCAGTCGATGCGTTTGGTGATAGAGTTCAGAGGATTTTGATGTCAATGCATCTGCCCATGCATGAGTCCACCAAGTTGAGTCCCATTTCTTGGATGGATAACACTAGCCGGTCGATCATTATCCTTCTGGAATTGTCGCACAGTCGGTTGGAGCCAGTGGATGCGTACCTGCTTGAACTTTTCGTACTACTAGCGAAGATGTTCTTGGGTAAGCCAACGCCTGAAATGGAGGTGCCCATTGTTAGTCACTTTATCAATGACATCATCGATGAGTACAAAAGTGTGTGCTCTTGGAGATCTAGCATTGGATGCCGGAGTCGCACTTATTGAGAAGACAGTCCATGAAAAATAACGTGGGGAGTCAGGAAAATTTTGGCTATCTAATTTCCAAAGGAAGCGGAAATAGTCGACCCCTTTGCTAGAGTTCGACAATCCGCCTCTAAGCCACTATGTTGTCCCGGGATCTAGCACAGCATTACCTTTACACTCTTCGGTCGTACAACTATGTCTCAAAGATACCTTTTACTCAAAGTGAGTCATACTTTCCTGTTTGCTTCCTGTTTGTTTTTAACCTCTTTGCAAATCTCTAACGGTTAATGTAGTGATTGCTAATTGGCGTATGCACGCTCATTGATACGAGCATCATAGGTGGTCTTTTGAATCCTCATATTTCACCGCCGCTTACAATCACCGGCCGCGTGCGTCAAATCAGAGGCACAGATTGGATGGCTCTATCGAGCCGGAGATCGATCATAATCACTCGGGTTGTGGTTGTAAAGGCAATGATCAATCACAATTTTATTCCATGAATTCTACATATCCGGTCGGATTTTGCAGTATGAATTCTTACTGGTGATATATTGAACCGTTGCTAGTGCATTGTCTTCTCGCTGTACGATACCTCTCTTGATCTTTAAACCCAATGGTTCTCGTTTATCGGTCAACTGTGTTCATACTGCAAGCACTGTCCGTAGATCAATTAAGTTCCCCCGTAATTCGACAGCTTACTAGCCCGAAGTGATTTGTAAGCCATTGTTTCTCCTTTACGAGTACGCTGTACATTTTTATGCCACATGCATGCCACAGAGTAAGATTGGCTCTTTTAAGGCTAACCATCCTCACTGTTTTCGCTTAGTGGACTCGTCGTACTCAGTGCACTCCCCTTAATGTTTGTGACATTTGAAAAAAGCTCAAACGCAGAACACTTTGTACACACTTGTCTCGTTTCCATTTGGATCATTTTTGGTTACCGTTGCTCAGTCGCAGTTACTTCCTTATTTCTTAACTTGTGTTTTCATGCACTGCACGTTTTTGACCCTCGGAACATTTAACCCCACTTCTATTTTATGGTTACATAGCGTTTGCAAGGCTCCGCGTAAACATGTGCACATTGTGAGTTGGTTGAACTATCCACCCCGCTTTCTGCTTATTTGATTACTTTGTTTCATATGCCTTGTACTTCACAAGTAGCTACACCCGTGCAGCTCTTTCCTTTCGTACCACACTTTCTTCATTCAATGAATGCACTTTGCAAATGCATTTACATGCATTTCTCTTCATGTTTGTTTGAAAGCAATGCGTGTTACGAGTTCCTGCTGCTCCCTAGCATTTACTCACGCATTTAAGGACTGACGCAGCTTATGTGCAGTACTGGGCGATGGTGTTACCACTTATGTAACTGCTGATACTACCAAGTGGGTTACATAAGTAAAGCTCATGGTAATACCCGCCAATTGGCGACTATTTATGACACCAGCCCAGCATGTACTGAAGCTGATATTCAACGATGCCATAGCTGTTGTCCCTCTAGCTGCCTTTTGCATATTTACTTTTAACTAGGAAATTTGGGCCGGTTTAAGAGTAACATGCAGGGCAAGAAGCCGTCGGTCAATGCAGCCTGAGGGCACACTCTGATGATTATTTCATGGTTTTACATTGACCGGAGATTTTGCAGAGTGGCCAAATCCAGACAACAGAGCGGCAAAAGTCGACTGAAGTCTACTTTTACGGGTTGATCGCAGAGCAGCGCGAATATGACCGCGATTGTGTTCACGTAAATGGGTGCCACCCCCACTTCCAGTCTTTTTATTTAAGGGCTAGAAGACTGGGTTCCTCTTAACTATCATCATTTAGCACTGGTGCGCGAAACTCTTCGGGGCCTGGGATTAACACCCATTATAGGTCAGTGTTTCGAAGAAGATGGGCTAGCCAATCGCCGCATCTTGCGGAGTTCCATTCCCGTCACAACTTTGATACACATAAGCGCTTATACCAATTGCCTGTCTAACGTATGTGACACCATTGATAATACTTGAAGCAACTGATGAGCGCAACTACATTGGATGAACTAATGATCGGCAGTTCAGTCGGTTAATAAGCGGACGTCGGTGTTGAAAATAAGGTTAGTTGAAGAAGATATTTTATCACGGATCAAGATGTTAATGCTTCACAAGTTCCTTTGGGTTTTTTATCATAACTTTTCATATACGTGGCAGTGGAAATTTACTGTTACTAAGGAACCAGTTTATACCTTTTATGCATTGTGAAGTGGTGTTCTAGTGCTTGGACTTTCGGACTATATCTACCGCTGAGCTGCACCAAAGAGCAGCATTCATGGCTTTGGTTGTACAAGACCAAGTAAACCATTTGATGCCTCCAGATTAATTTTACCGTCTGCTCGTGTCGGAGATTGCACATTCCAATTTTAAGGTTGCTTCTACTCAATGACATCGTCTTTTAGCTATGACTATGAAACTTGAGTTTAACATTCAATATGGTTACAAACATAAGCGCCCCCTAATTGACAGCATATTAAATATCTATGTATCCGAACTCCCCTCTCAACAATCCAGTGTGCTTGTTGCCAGCTTGTGACGCCTCTTCAGATTAATTGGAACAAACTAAGTCAATGAACTAGAACATCCATGTTACATTGCACAGATGTCCGCAGTATATATGTGCCTCTTCTATCGGAGTATGTGGTATGACGTCATATGGAGATTCTCTTAATTTATTTACCTTAGACGAGCTGCCGAGTGATCTACTATAAAACACGTTGAAGTAATTGCTTATCCGCATTCAATCTTCACCATACCTTAAGTCATCAATAAAAAGTAGCAACTTTGTAGCGACACTGCGCGAGCTCATTAATGAACAACAATAGCAATCCTGATCCTAGCCCTGGAGCATGTCGTATGCTACCTTCGTGTTGTATCTGGTCCACAAGCTTGCTTCGACTTCCAACCAATTGCATTTAATGAAGAGCGTTCGCTGTTTGTTGTGGAGCTCGCATAGCTTTGCTAATACTTGGGAAGAGCTCGCATCAGCAATACGAATGTCATGCGGCTACCCAAACTGCATAGGCGGCAGCGTATTTCTCCTCAAAAACGCCGCTACTGTGTCAACATAAACTGCCCCGACTCCCCCTAAGCTTTCTCAGTGCCCCTACTGTATCCACGATCTCAACTTAATTTCCTCAGGAGACTACCCCAATGTGCCTTGCCAATATTCGCCATCTTCTCTAGTTTGTGCATTACGCAGTTGTACTATTCGATTATGAATACAAAGTATGCAAGGCATGTTTGCGTTGCGTATTCCTTTTGAGTTGACTTCCGACGATTAGGTCCCTTGGACTGTGTCGTACAGCTCTCCTGGAATCACGAACAAAGTCTGAGCACTGATCCGAAATCGTTATTAAGAATATTCGCTTTTTTATCGACTACATACAGTATTCTGCTGTCTTCCGTTTATTGGCTAGCCCTTGTTAACTGGCCGGTGACATTAGCTCCATCCCATAGGTTAGTGCTTGTTCTTCAGATGGACTGATCCACTCTTACTGAATTTATGGTTGCATCGAGCATCGTTGCCATCCTGGGTAGACTGTATGGTGGCGTTCGATTGGCCGTTCGCCCATTTGTTCAATGGTCGCACGATTGCCTATCTGCCATAACTGAGCGTGATGTTACCATGGACTCGGGCGTAACACATCCGCCCATTGTAATTCCAACCAATCTGCTTTTCTGCTGTCCAAAGGTGAGCTGTCCCGCCGTTGCGCTAAGCCGGATGCGTTCCACATGCTCAGTCCCGACTAGCGTCTGGTTAGCCATCCGTCTATTAGGTTGATGCTTCCTCGGTTGGCTATCTAACACAGCTGTGCATGTTGTCAAACTGTACTCAGGCGTAAGCAGTCTGCTCGCCATGTGGCCGACCAGTTGGATTCTCAGATGTCAAAAAGTGCGCTCTTTCTATTGTGCGCGGAGCCGAACCAGTCGTACTCTCTCGGCCTACTTCTGCTTGGCCCCCAGTCCATCAGCACCGTGATGATTCCCTTCGACCCTAGACTTCAGTTGCCAACATCCCTTCACTTTTCTTTTTTTAGAACGGTGTTACAATACGTTCCATCCTGTCTTTGACTGCGTGTACGCTTACTGTCTTGGGATGGGATTACAGGTATCCTTTCTCTCTGCTGCTGCCGATCTTCGCTTTGCGAAGTCCGCTCATGGCGTGCTCCTTGAATTTGCAACCTATTCCGTCTAATGATGTTGCTCCCTGTCTTCACTTCATAGGTACTTTCACCCCATGCAGCCTTCATTTACTCCATTCTGCGAACGTTCTTCTGTTTCTGGCACTGATTGCATCCATACTTCTCCTACAGCTGGGGATAGGAGGCATTTTGATCCACAATCAAATT